CCCTAATAACTTTATATTTCGTTAGTTAGAAGATATTTTGAGTTGAAAATAAATTACACTCCATAATTATGTTGACAATTAGAGTTATAATTTTAAATGTAATAATTTAGACTAACAATATAAATTGTCAGTCCGGCCGGCTTATCCTCTGTCAGGTGTGTGGGGGCAGCAGGAGACCCCGCTCTCCCCAGCGACACTTTCCTGCTCGTCCTGGGGGACTCCGAGACGTTCCCAGGCCAGAGGGGATACATAATCCCGCCAGTGAGTCCTGGGTTTTCTCCAACGAACCCTTCGTACGAACAAAAGTAAGAGAAATTTAGGATAAGAATACGAACATGTTCCTGCATGAGGCCCAATGTGGGGCTTTATGGTGTTACGTAAGCTTTCTTTTAACAGCTAAACTTAATGAAAAAATAATAATTCAGCATGCAATGTAACTGAGTGAATCATCAAGACTTAACAAAGGTTATGTCCCATTAATTTTTATAGAGGGGCGGAGCCTAAAACTTGTTCTAGAACCAGCTGACAGGAAAGCAGATCCTGTTCTGGCTTTAAACTGCAGGTTCCAGCCACAGGTCTACTATTAATTACAGTTTTTAGCTGTGTTTGTATCTATACACACACATTTGCATGAACCGCTATGAAATTCTTAAGATTGGAGCCATATTAAGACAGTGTTAATACACTTTAATCTAAGCCACACTTAAAACTAGCCATCAGCTTGTCCATCCGATCAGAATTAGACTTAATTTCTTCAAATTTAATCTGTGGAGACTTTCACAAAACAAGTCTGCAAAATGTCTTGAAGTGATTTGTGCAACAAGTAAGATATTTATTGTTCATAATGTTTCCACAGAACCCCACTTCAAAAGATCTGAGCTAGGCAATGAAATGAAAATACTAAAATAAATCAGCACTTAAATTTGTACTGATTTAAAGGTACTTTTTTCTAAAAAGAACCACACTGATTAAAACCACGTCTGTCTGCCTTTAAAGATTTTAAGCAGATTTTTGTAAACAATGTCATAAAAGAAAAAAATTGGTACAAATAACGTAATATAATACATAACTGAAGAAGAATCATATTTTCCTCAGAGATGGTGGTTAATGTAAGAAATTTGTCTCTGATGCAAATTTCTTCTCTCTACAGATGGTGACATTAGTAAATCTAACTTTGCATGCATACATTAAGCTTCTGTTTGAATTTACTCATGTGATTTTTTTATGTCTGGCTAACAAATTATTTAGTGTAGCTTTCGCAAAGTTTATCACTCTTTTAAAAATGATAAATGCAGCATATCAGTATAAATAATAAATGGATTTTAAATCACTGCACGTTTTGTCGTCCAACAAAGAACTGGCAGAGATGATGAGACGACTGTATGTGCAGATGTGCTACAATCAGCAGGGCCAGGCATCCCTCAGGCTGCACACAGACACACAGACACACACACACACACACACACACACACACACACACACTGTGACTGCAGGCTGCCCAGGCCTTGGTAGGCCTTCCTGAGCCAATTCAAACACTGTGATCCTCGCTGATCTGGAAAAGACCCTGGCTCCGAGGAATTTGTTCATGCAAATATAAACCATTTCCTCTGACAAAACCCCACCACATGTCCGAGCCTCAAGGACTCGCATCCTCCAGGGCTCAAGTAGTCTGGCTATTCCCTGCCTGGGAGCTTTTCTGTTTCCGGGGGATTTCCATCACAACCTCTCTCATAATTTCAAAACAGGAATTACACTCTTTAGACAAACATCTAGGCCAGCTGGAATATTAACATCTAATGTGTGTGTGTGTGTGTGTGTGTGTGTGTGTGTGTGGTTTGACATATCAGATTTGTTTGTTTCACCTGAGAAGCTGCAGGTCTACGAGGGTGTCCCCTGGTGGTGACACCGTGAGGAGCCCCCAGAAAGTGAAACCACCCCGATGCAAAACAGATTTCCATCAGATTCCCCCCACAGATAATGGTAATTTCACARATAACAGTGAATCTCTAACATGAAGGAAAATGCAAATTAAAACCCCATCAATTCTACCCCGAAGAATAGATTTCTAATTTTCTTACGCTGAGCTGTRTCTCACTTTAAAAACAGCGCTCCCATCTTTTCCAGAGTGATAAGCCGGAGCGACGTTTCATAGCTTTTATCTTAAACTGATCTGCACCTTCCAAAACTGCAATAACCGGACCTCCAACTCCCTCACATCTGAGAAGATCTGAACACAGTCTCCAAAAAATACAACAGGAAATCTGCACACTCACATGAATCCTTTTAACAAACTCCAAATGCACATTTATTTCTCCGATAAATCACTGCAATAACTGGATTCTTTAGTCTGAATGGAGGGACAGACAAAAGTGCAGTGGAACAAAAAGGAAATAAAGAAGCTTTTAGACCTAAGTGACACCAACTGTAAACATTACAGAGCATCTTAGCATCTATTCAGCGCTTCTGGGTGGTGAAAAGAAGTGTTCAATGCATTTGTTTTTACGGCGTGTGGCACTCTGAAGCTGTTAATTGCAGGAGGAAATGGCTCCCCTGTGCACAACCTGCAATTCCAGTTTACAGACACATCACAAATTTCTACAGGATCCTCAGATGGGGTGTCTTTTGTGAATCGAAGCACCTTTTAATGCCTCTGGAAGTGAAAGCAGACGTTTACGGCCCCCTCCTCTAAAAAGGAAGTGAATCATAATGTGGCTTAGCTGAAATAAAGGAGCAGGAATCTGATAATTTAAGACATCTATTAGCRTTTCAGCTAAGTCAAGTGACCAGAAGGCTTCAGCCACGGCTAATGACGAGCACATTACTTTACCTTCATTTAACCAACAGAAAAGAGGTGGGACRAGTTGCTTTTGTGTTCTCTAAATACTGTTTCTTCATCCCCCGGGTATTTAGAAACCTTATCATAAAATATCCTCACAGCACCCACAATCTGTAGATAGCATTCAGCAGCGAGGAACCAAGAGGGAAAGCTTAGTGAAAATAAAAACAGAGCGCCGTGCGGAGCGTTGAGCCTCTCAAGAGATAATGGAGACGGCAGATTTATCCGAGAACTGCACGCGGAGGCTTGAAATAAAAGGGGGGCCCACAGATGCCTGAGAGCCATGTCTTTAAGAAACCCACTTACCTGAATGTTCACGGAAGCAGGAGACAGCAGCACAGTACACTCACTTGTGCAGTTTGTCTCAAAGAAAAGTTTCCATTTCCATTCAGAGTGGCAGCATACTGGCTGGGTTTTTTTAAGCATTGTTGTATTTTTATTTTACTGATTTATTTATTTTTAATCATTGCATACCTGTTTTAGTTAAAGGGCTGGAGAACAGCTGCTGCAGAAGTTTGTTCTCTGATGTTCTTAACACCACSACGATGTCTGCAGGAAGAGTGTCCCTGTTCTTCTCCAGGAACCCATTCACACTGTACATCACCTGACACACAGCACACAAGATAAATGGAGGAATAAAATTATTACGTAAAATATCTGTTAGGCATAAAACTGGCTAAGATGTAAGAAACGCTGCCAATATATTTAATTGTTTTAAATAAGGGTGTCTCAAAACCAGTTTTTCCTCAAACAGAGAAGTAGCAGGGATACTTTATTTTGGGTACTCGCCGATACCAAGTTCTGATTCTGAGAACCTACTGGTTTAGAATTAAAACATTACAATKACTTTAAAAACACATTTATTATGTGTAGCTCTCATTTGTTGTAGGCCTACCTGACAGTTTCAAATCAAATATACAGCAAATATACTGCTGCAAAAATGTAAAATAGACAAAAAATAACAAATGATAGTAACTGTAAAAATGCAAATTCAAAAAATATCTTAAACAGGTAAGATATTAAGTGTTCATAACTTTTCCACAYATCCCTACTTCAAAGAATCTGGACACGTTTCACTAAAGAAGAACCCATCCAGAGGACCCACTTGTTTTTGATTTTTGATTTTTTTCTACCTGGATTACTGAGATGCATCAGAACAATCTGGACATGTATTTTAATGACATTTATTTGTGTAAATTGTAATGGCACTGTACTCATTTATTTATGTCATAACTTTTATTTTGTTCAGATCAAAAAGCCTAAGCAGGGGCGAGGGCTGTAAATTAGCTTTTAGCTAGAAGCCTTGTGTATGCTGCATCTGTTGCCTATGTGTGATGTTTTGTTGTACAGTCCCTGCAAAAATTAAATAATAAATTAAATAAATATATCATCATCACCAAAWTAACACAAACAGAAAAGTAACAGAATCATACTGGCTTTCCCTGGATGAGAAACTACCTTTGGCCTTTTGCAATTGAAACGTGCTGCAAATCTAAATCCAGCTTGTTTTTATTTAACTTGTTTCTAAAAAGTYTGATTTAAATTAGCAGCTGCTGCTCCTCTTTAAGACATTTAAAACAACCCAATCATAATGTTTTTTTCTACCAAGGAGGTTATTAGTGTTTTCAAACCACCACAAACTTTAAAAACTCTTAAAAATATGTATGTTCTGCTCACAACAAGAGGTAATTCTTTGATAAAAACAGTARTTTGGTATACCTTCCCAGCGTAATGTTGAATTCCAAAACAAAGCTCCATGCGTTTAGGTATCCAAAAATATTTGCAGCGTAGATTGTCTTCAAATTTATCTGTGAACGAGTCAATAGAGGGGGAAAAAARGTCATAAAACTTACATTTGGCCTTTTAAAAGAGTTTTCTGTATACATTTGAAGCCTTACCCACGAGGGTCTGGTCTGTGGCCTGAGGGAAGCGGCTYTCTTCGTCCAGCAGGGACAGCAGACCCATGGGTTTCTGCAGGAACATGTCCAGGATGGGCCTGTTGTCCTCGTACTCCACCAGACTGGCATCCACTCCCTCGCTCTGGTATTCCATCTAATTACAACCACAGATTGCAGAATAAACCAGTTAATAGTTTCTCTAAATAACCTAATTAAACTATCTGGGCTAAATATGATTCGTGTTTGTGTGTGTCTGTGTGCGTGTGTGTTGCCATAATCAACTAAACCAAACAGCCGCATGTCTGTGGCTGAAGTTTTTTAGCATAATAGAACGAGTGCATAAAACAGAGCAGCTCTGAACGAACAAATAGAGCCACTTACTTATTCATAATTTATTTCAATGTGCAAATAACCCACTGTGATGTTTTATTATTGCATCTGTTTAATCTCAGATCAAAAAGTTGCTTTAAATATATATTTTAATAATAAAGTGAAATCAATGGATCTAAATCGTCCTCATGTTTAAGTCATCACCCCCTTACAATAATCAGAGTCTGTGTGCAGCAGCGCAGAAAACATCCACCCAAGATAAAAACTCTTCTTCCTCTTCAGACCCACATCAGGGCAGAAACTTTCCCACAAAAGCTTAAGGCTTGACTTTCAGTGATCGCTGCTGCAGTCATGTTAACAATTATAGTAGGTGTTGGGAGTAATTCTCAGCTGCTTCCACATCAATTTTTTAACTCAAAATCAATACAATTAGCGGATGTATGGCCATTTTCTGGTTTACTCATTTTGATTTGCTATTGTGTTCATCTTAAATTGTGGTGACTCCAAAGTTTAAAGAGGTTTAGATGTACACCCCATGACTGTTTTCTGAATGTTTCCTGAAAATTCATCCAGTGGTTCATGAGATACTTTGTTAACAGACAGACACGTATGAAATTAATAATGGTAAGATTAAAAAAATACCTTTATAGTTAAGGCCTTAAGTATGTGCTGGGGCTGAGTCTCAGCTCAGAACACACCAAAATGTATCTAAATATCTGTACAATTCTCTGAGTTCTACACATTTTTGTCACTTTAAGTCACTTGTCTGCGACAGCCATCTTGAATGGGATTGACTTCACAAGTTAATCAGTGGTAACGTCCATTGATCACTTTCTGGGAATTAATTGGAATCCATCCACTTGTTTCTGGAATATTTTTGCACAGAGAAACAAACGCACACATGCAAACACAGAACAATATCACAACACCTTTAACTTTGGTGGTGGGGGATAAATATTTGAGAGAACAAAACTTAAAAAAGACCAGACTATCCCTTTAACACTGGCCTCTGGCCTCAGTAAATGATCTACAGTAGTTTTGTTCTTAAAGGTTTTGTTATACATAATTCAGAATAAAAGCGTAAGTTTCTTTTCATATAATAAGCCATCAAAAAAACCTATCTTGGCTTAACTTTGAAAAGGGAACTGGAATGCATTATAGTAAAATGGCTCTTGATTAATACTCATTCATTTCCATCAAGCAAACTAAAGACTAATCCTCCTTCAGAGTAAACAGCTTCATTAAATCAATTAAGAAGATAATTTTGTGTCACACAACTGTATAAACAAACCTTTACTTATCAGACAAGAAAGTAAGACAAATAAATTTATGAGCATCGCTGCCTCGATGGAAACACACAAACATATAATTCATGTAAAATGACCAATTTTCAATGTTTTAAAGGGATCCTGGTCCATCCAAATCACATTAAGAGAAAATATCCAAAGCTTATACATTAGTAAAGACTTTTAATACCCCCTTCCTGTGTGAAAAAAAACTCACCTGTTCAAGGGCAAATATGTGCTGGTTGAAATAAAACTGGATTTGCTCATTTGCGATGTTAATGCACAGCTGTTCGAACGAGTTCTTCTTGAAGTTTTCAAATCCAAAGATGTCCAGGATTCCMACATTCATGCAACTCTCTGCGGCACTTCAAAGGAGAAAAGGGGGACAAACAAACTTACTCTTCCATACAGAGGAACTAGCAAATCCCCAGCAGTCATAATAACTGATAAAAGTTTAATGATAATGCAAGTTCAACCCAAATACGGAAAACGGATCTTGGATGGCCTAGTCTGATGAGAAGTCAGGAACATCAGCTTCGTGAAGGGTTTTGGACAAACAATACACGCTTTCACAGAACGGCACGAAGACTTTTTGTATTCTGGGCTCGGTGCTTCMTGATCAGTCATTACAGCCTGGATGTAGAGGTCACCTTAAGCCCATGCTGCCCGGTTATTAGCAGCAATAAAGAATCAACACAGATGACTTGAAACCAGACAGGAACTCTGGCTTCTGTTCATTTCTGTGAGACGTCTCCTTGACAGTCGACGCTCATATTTATGAAGGAATTCTTTTGGATCAATGCAGAGCCTCATTGCAGTCTCTCTGAAGTCTTTTTAATCATCTGAACATTATTTTCTCTGCACGCAACTCTGTATCAAAAATTTATTAAAACTTTCTCTTTTTTTCCTTTTGCTTGTCTTGTGCGCATTCATATTCTCCTTTGCATGTTTGCATCTACCTCTGCAGTCTTTCACAGAGGTCACTGGAGACTCGCAGAGAGACAATCACAGGGGAACCGTTGACACGGCTCACGTGTTTGTCGTTACGCTCACCAGATATTCATGTCCGGCTGCAGCAGCGTGTTGATGCGGTTGACGATCCAGCTGAAGAGGCGTCCGTACAAGGCCTTGGACATGGCGTCTCGGACGTCGGTGGCTTTGTCCACGGTGTTGGTTCGAACGATGGTCTCACCCCTCGTGACCACGCACTGAGAGGTCAGGGCCTCCTGAAGCTCCTCGGAGCCRATGCTGAGGAGAGCTGCAGCTGAGGAAAGAAAAAAAAGATTTATTGTTTATTATAAATTCACAAAGCTGAAGAAGAAAAATGTGTTAGCCTGGAGTTCCTCAGGGTTCAGTGTTTCGACTACTTTATTTGTAGTTCCATTAGGTAAAGTTATTACACAGTTTGGGACTAGGTTATGTCATTTRGTAGACTGCTGGTTTACTTGTGGTTTCTACAGTTTGTAAAAGTAGAACAGGAGGCAGAGCTTTCAGGAACTTACTTCCCATTTTACTCTGAGAGGCTGACAACCATTCTACATTCAAATCCAGGCTTAAAACTTTACTTTTAATCTTAGAGGGTTGGCTTGGGTTTCACTTGGTTGATGCTGTAGGCTTAGACAACTTAAATTATTCTCTTTAACTGAGAAAAAAAGAATAGTTATTACAAATACAACCCTAACGAGCTGCTTTTTACCATTCTCTAAGGATTCCGAGTTAGGCACTTCACTCTTGTCAGTCTGATGTTGGGATGTGATGGCAGCAAACTCAATATTACCCGTGTTCAAAATGGCTGAGAGAATTCTGTAAACCGAGGTCACCTCCTAAAGTAAAAAGAGAAGAAAAATAAATTGCTTACATTGTTTTAAAATCCTAATATTTCGTTTGGATGCTCGGTACCTCCTCTGTAAAACCGATATTTCGGAAACACTCCTGAATGGCATCGAACTGCTCCTTATAGAGTTTCCCAGAGACGATGTCCTGCATCACTTTGCACTGCTGGCTCTCGATGTACCTGCAGAGGTACATTATGTGTGTGAAAACATGATTGAATTTAACATGCAATCCACTCAAAACTGGTCACTCAGAAAGTGTACTTGATTTTGAAAGTGATTTTTTTATCAGATCACAGAAGACTCTTGCATGAACAGAATCTACGGGTCGATTAGGACAAACCTGGGAGGCGTCCCGTCCAGCAGCCTGTAAGTCTTCAGCTTGTTTTGGTGGTAAAGTCCAGCGTATATGTAGTAAAATATGTGGAAGTTTTTCTCCCCMCTGAATGGAGGGCAAACAGTGGTCAGAAGAGGGACACCAAGTCAAAACAGCCCCAAAATCAGAGCCTCACTCACTCTGCCTGTTTGATGACCCTGGATTTCTCCAGCAGGTATTCCGATATCTTGGCTCCGATGACCGCTCCGCTCGGCGTGAACTTCATCTCCAGGTATTTTCCGAAGCGGCTGGAGTTGTCATTGATGGCTGTGCAGGCATTTCCAAAAGCTTCCACCAGAGGATTGACCTGCAAGATCTTCTCCCTGAGAGTCCTGTTGTTCGCCTTAAAGAAACAACACGTCTCTTTGATGAACTCAAGGAAAGTTTAGCGTTAGAGAAGCTTAGGGAAAGTAAAATCACTGCAATAAAACGATCGTAATGAAATTATACCTTTCCCAAGAAGGTGAGGTGCTGAACGATTAAATGAGCACTTTCTGTTTTCCCTGCTCCGCTCTCACCACTGATGATGATGCACTAAAACAAGAAATTAAATGTTCAAAAAACAAAAATATGTTCACATACCTTTCCTCTTTTTAGTAAGTGAAGTTGAAGTTTTACTTTAAAGCACTTATTGCAGTGGAGCAAAAATGTCATTCAGTTTAAAATATTTGCTGTATACTGTATAATAATTTCAAGTGAAAGTCGTTAGCATTTATTTAGTGTTACAATCACACAGTTTCAGTTCCACRATCTCTTTGTGGAGCACCTGGTCTTTGCAGAACGTCACCATTCCTTGGTAGGCTGCATCTGCTGTAGCAAAGATGTGTGGAGGGTTGTCGCCTCTCTTGACTCCATGGTACAGCTTAGAAAACTAAAAAAAAAAAAAAAATACATAAAATTTTTATTAAGAGAATTGAAACGAGTTGAACTAGTTTATTCTCTTCTAAACCTCTAAGTGATCTAAATAGTTTTTCAGTAAATAGCTTTTCTGTCTGAACACGTTTCCTGCAGTTCACACTTTCAAATTTGTTGCGGACAGCACAAAATATGATGTTTTGTTTGGTGATATTATTACAACAATCACAATGAGAATAAAGCAATAGTTTGGGTCTTTTGAGGTGTGGTTCTGTGAAAGGTTTCTGAACAAAAAATATCCTACCTGCTGCAGATAGCTCGCTGTACAGCTTCAGTTCTGACTGGATTAATGAGCTAATGGCTACAACGGCAAAGACCGAAATCTGTTGTTGGCATCTTAAAACAACTCCAAACTCAAATGTTTCACTTGCAAACACAAAGAGCACCAGCAGCAGCAGCTAACTGTAGCACTTCCAGCAGGAATGTCATAAAGAATAATTGTACAGTGTAAATAGTTGATGTGAAGGTTGCTACAGAAATGTTAAGATGGCATAAAGTCTGTCTAGTTATAAGCTCATCAATCTGGTCATCTCTTCACTTCTCCAAACTGAGGTCATTCAAAGACCTATCTGCAACAGGTAAGATATTAACTGTCTTCTATTTAAAATAGCTGTCAATTCATTAAATTATGAATCAGATTTTGTGCTTTTTCAACAACAATGTTAACACTTCCTTTTAGTAAAGCTGAAAACAATCGCATGATAATTTCAGTTTTTATTAACCAACCTGAGGAGAGTAGATGCTGAGGTTCTGGAAAGGATTGAGAGCAATGAGGATGTCACCGACGTAAGTGTACACCTGCAGCTCATCATACCTCTTCTGCAGATGGCCGATTATCATCTCCTACAGCAGAGAATGAGAAACGTTGTACCTGAAGCTGGTCAAAATTGATTAGTCATTATAATATGTAGAATCATACCTCATCTAGAAACTCCAGGTGTACCAGATCGTCATCAGGACAGCGCTCTATAATGAGGGTTTTACGAGTATTGATCCGTTTGTGCCTGCATAGAATCAAGAACATGAGCTCTTTTCTGACAGCAGCAACATGACAACAGCAAGAGCAGTTTGATGGAAGAACGTATGATGCAGCCACTTCCGAGGTTCGAGTGAAGCTTTTTAGTAGCTCTCCCATGGGAAACATTTACCAATAACACGAGCTGTGATTGCACTTCATCTGTGTTTTGACCTATTCCTCTGAAATGAGTCCCATGTGGGCGGAGGTCAACTCACAGCCAGCTGGCTCAATAAAAGCCTCAGGGAACACCACAGAATGTGAGGAAGTGTGAAACAGGAGTGTGTTTGTGTCCTGGTCTGAGGGCAGAGAAACAACAATCTGTGTAAGCATTACGTTCAAAGGATAAGGTGTTTCTCTCACTGTCGCAAGCCTCAAGGGAAAAAAAAGACAATGACAGCCTCTCAATCCAGTTTAATTATTGTATGACAAGCAAACAAGCCAATGGGTCAAACTATTGCACCGAGACTGATAAACATCTAATTATCACTGTGATTCAATCTGGTTTATTCCTGTCCTGCTGCCACAAATCATCTCCAGGTTGAATTCAGCTTTTGAAGCATAGTTAAGTTGCTGTAAACTGAGCAATCTGCTTTTTAATAAACCAGAAATTAAAGTCTTACTGTCATTTATTTAACTAGCGATGGTGGTGTTATGTAAAATCCACTTTTTTGAGCTTTATATGACGTTGTACATTATATTTTACCTTTATTTGACCAGGCAAATCTCCATGAGATCACAGATTTCTTTTGCAAGGGAGGCCTGGGCCTGAAGGCAACCTACAGTACATGTTTTTTTTTTGGTTTGTGGGGGAAACCGGAGCAGAAAACCCACGCAAGCACAAGGAGAACATGCAAACTCTACACAGAAAGACCCCAGGTCCGAACCGGTGATCGAACCCACAACCTTCTTGCTGCAAGGCGTCAGTGCTAACCACTGATCCATCGTGCTGCTAATGTCATTCCCTCATCAAAAACATACTCAAAGTGTTGCTTTGACTCATTTAAGCATGTTTGAGAAATCCTTGAATCTCCTGYCCATGTGGAGCTGCCTGAAAGGTTGTCGGTACAAAGCACCGCCTATTTATACAAAGCCCCTCCCTGGAGCTCAGTCTGCAGCAGAGCTCCTGCCACACAGAGCACCCCTCTCCCAAAATGTTGTTGTGAAGATGTGCTGAAGTGGGAGTGTTTGAAACGGTAGGAGGTTCTTAAACAAAGAGAGGCCAATGTCAAGGTGTTTATATAGACAATGATGCAAAGTTAATTTTATTTTTGGTATAAACAGCATTTTATTAAYGACTGAGGGTAACAAAGTAACTTGATTGTAGAATTGAARTATGTGCCTGAAAAAACACATCACTCCCTTTTAAAAAAGACCACCTGCTGCTTTTGTTTGAAAGGCTTTTTTTGTTAAAAAATGATGGATGTGTAGATGTTTTGTTCAAACCTTTAAAATGTTATGTATCACCTCACAATATTGCAAGGTGTTACTCTCTAATTGTGCATTGTAAATTATTGTCTGATAGTACCACATTTCATTTAAGAACAATAAGATTTAAGGGAAAATGACTTAATAAAAGGAAAGGATAAAAGGAAAGAATTGTGCAAACTCTAATTGAGCCTTGTAATTAAGATAATAACTTATCAGGAGAAAAAAAATTTTTTTTTCTCCTATGTTTGTTACAGTGGAGGCACCCACTGATGGCCATAATTATAAACAGTTTGTTAATATTTCTGTTTATTCGTTTTTGTAGCATGCATCCAGTGTTAACTTTGCAAGAAAGGTGTCTGAGTTTGCTCAAAACATTTGAATTTAAATGTAGAAAAATCCTTGAAAAATGTTTGAATGTCTGAAAGTCATAGTGAAGAAAAAAAAAACTTTCAAAAACGTGAAAAAAATACTGCAGATCCTTTTTGATCCCATTCTCCAGCTGAATCTATTCCAGTAAATAATCAATCAGAAAAGTAAAAATATTCAAGCTTCAGGTTGTTTCCTCCTCTGCTTTTGTTTTCATTTGATATTCTGAGTATAGTAGAACTGCAGGACCACTTGGTGTATGGTCCCTGTGAAGTGAATCCTATCCTCGTGTCCCTTTAGAGGAGGACTTGAGACCTCTAGCGTCTCAGTCTCTCTTGCTTTGAAGTAAAAAAAAAATCACACTGTTCCACCTATGGCAGCTACTTTTAAGTTCTCTATGTCTTTCTTAGTCTTATCRGCCGACATTGTTTGCTGATCTGTGGCAAGAGAGACTAAACCAGGCGAGCCCGGTTCTCGCCCTACAAGCTCCTAATCCCATTATCCACTTTCACTGTGGACAGGAATTTRGGATCAGGCTCAGGCACCAACTCTGCATGCTCTCGGGAGTAAACAGAGCTGGCAAGGCATCAAGACTCTCAGTCAAGGGCAGCTTCAGCAAACTCTTTTATAATGACGATTAAGCAGAGCCAAAGTCAGTATTTCTCCAGTAAACAGGACACAGTTTGCTCTGTCACTTACTGCCATCAGAGTCTCTGAGTAAAGCAGATTTAACCTCAGGAAATCTCCCTTTATTCATGTGTGYATCTGCTATTCCCATTGCTAAGATAAACTGTAAAAGCTGAACTGTAACTGACTCATTTAAATACAAACAAATAAAGGATCATCGTTTCAACGTTGCCTATTCAATCATCGGTTTAATTGAGTGGAGAACAAAGTGCACACCAGACTGGATGGGATTTATTAATCTAAGGTTAGTCAGCACAATCACTTTTTCTGAATTAGTCACACTCCCCTTTCTTCTCTTTAATCACAAACTGTAATTTTGCCCATTACTCTGCCTCATCTTCRTKCTATGGTCCAGTGTAAAAAGATGAGATGTTGCCCCCTGCTGGTCAGGAAAAAAATAGCACTAATTTCATCCTCTGCAGCTGAAATAGAAATCTCGACACCCAAAAGATGTAGCACAATTACCATAGCATTAGGTTATTTACTATTATTATTATTATTATTATTATTATTATTATTATTATTATTATTATTATTATTATTATTATTTAATGTGCAAAAGCAGTTTAAGAGATGTTTTAAAGAGCTTACCTGGTTTTGGTTTGGCAGCCGGCTTCTTGCTGCCCCCTGATGAGGTCTGCTAGCTGCTGCCGGAGGGCCACGTCTTTGCCGTGGGCCTGCTTGATGAASGGGTGCTCGAGTAGATGGGTCACAGAGGGACGTGCCTCAAAATCCTTTATCAAGCACCTCGCAAACAGAAAACACCAGTCGTCGTTAGAGGACTGAATAATCGGCAGACCATTTGTTTGAGTTTGTCTTTGAGCATCATGGTCCCTATCAGGATCACAAGTTCAGCCAAACAAGCTCTCAGTTCTAACTGTGATGTGTTTGCCTGCAGGTTCTCTGATTTCTAAAACTGACTCAACACCCCACAGTACAAAACCCAAAGAGCACATTTAGCTTTGTTTTCTGAGAATACTTAAACAGTCTGACAAAACCTTTGAAATTGCTTTCTGAGCCTGGCAATTCTTCTTTCAACAAATCACAACACTGTTCAGCAAGAGATTTACAGCATCTGAATGTTTTTTTTAATGTGAGCATTACAACACCAACAGGGAGAGGCAAGATAGGAGAAAAACACCATTTTAGCTATTTTTTTTTCACCTAATCACAACTGAAAGTCTGTTTCTTTTATCAGTTTGYTCAGCTCTGGAAGTTAATTCCATGAATTCATTAGCGTCAGGACATTAAGCAGAGGTTTCCTCTATTAGCAGGGCTGTGCCGCGGAGATGCCAAACAGGAGGCCACTTTGTCACTGAAGTCAGCTCTAGCTGCCCAAGTGCAGACGTCTGTGATGGATTTATTATCCAGAATCACCCCCCCCCCCTCGTTCCTGTAACCGAGCCCCCCCTTAACACACGCACACACATGCGCGCAGGCCTGACAGCGTTGAAAAGGCTTCACAAGCTGCCTGTAAGGCTCGATAACATTGTCCAGCCTCCCCACATTGCACTCAGCTGGGCTTTGTTTGAGGAGATTAATGCTGATTTGATATCACACAACCTATTAACCCACATTGCAAAGGTGCAATCCAAAAAGTATCTAATAAAAGACACTCCAGTTGTGTTGTAGAAATAAAGAATATGCAGTATATATATATATATAAACAAACTATTTCCTCCCCAATCAATATCTGAAACTTCCCACAAAATAACAAAATGCACTCCAATAGCAGATGCGCTGTTTACTTTTATTTTGTTTTTCATTTAGACCTCTATCAATGCAAACACAAATGTTAGCCAAAAACCCAAACAAATAATTTCCCAAACAAACAGAAAWTTCTTTTTTCATTATAACTCAGGCAAGCGCACCTTTCTGCTGGAGATATTAAGGCTGTATATCCAGAACAACCATTACAAGCCACCCCTGGCTTTATTAGTTTTCCACAGTGGAGCAAATGATAACTTACCTGGGCTTTTAGATAGAACAGATAACTCAGGTGAATGCATTTTGTTCCTCCATGACATATTTACACAGATGAAGGTCGATGGGACAGAAAGACAAGAGGGCTGTAGCTAATTTGTTCTTTAATGTTTCCATGTCTAGTATTTCTCAAAGTGCTACTTTATTTTATTTTATTTTATTTTATTAATTATCACCCTATCTCAAAAGTTCATCATGGGCAGCAGTGTCCTCCATCCATAAATATGAAGTCAGGACAGCCTTGCACAACTTAAATCAGCTTAATTCAGAAGAATCAACTGATTTTCCTACTGTTTATTTTGTTAAATGACAAAAGATTTTTTTCATTCATTTGATCAGGCCAGTCGTTTTCTCTATCTCCCTGTGCTGTAATTATTTAATATATTTATTATTCATAATATAAGGCCACACAAACATCTAATCTGGATGTTTTTAATGTTCTTTAGAGCAACACTTAGGTGACAGAGATGAGTTTTGACAGTTGTGTTCAAATTTCCATCTTAGTAGTGTGTTTCTACTAAAGCTTAAAGAGTTTATGAGAAATAGAGGAGTGAGTTAAAGGAAAACTTACTGRCTGATGAAATGGTTAAAACTTCTGCACCACTGGTCTGGATTTTGTAACGTTGGTGGGGGGTTTCTGAAACAAAACCACAACAAATATATAGGAAACAAGAACTTTAATCAAAGGGTTTAGGTTATTACACAAAAGTTGCTGTGATTTGGAGGAACTCTGACGATGTCTTGGGAGGTTTTTGACAAATGGCAGCTGGCTGAAAGTGCGACCATCAGACTCTTGGGAGAGTTTCTGCTCTGAGGACGCTCTGCATCCAGGTCTGTGGCAGCCAGAGAAAAAGTGACAAATGATAACTGCTCCTTTTAAGGGTCTGGCAGCGAGCATCTGCCATTGGGAGCCAAAAGTTATGGAAGATAGTTATACCTCTGTCAGCAGCATTTACAGAGGCCATCTGTAATGAGGCTAACACATTTCAAGAGCGAACGATGACAAGAAGCAGGGCTGCAAAAGGAGCCAAGGCTGGCCGGAGCCCGAGTACAGTCATCCTCGCAAGGAGCTGTCAGCTCTGACAGCTAGAGGCTGAGTTGTTTGTCACTGTCAGGTAAACAGTGAAACATCTGATCAGTCACTCATTACTGTGGGGATTTCTCAGCAAAGCTGTGAAGGATCTCAAGTTAAAAACCACTGTTTAAAGGGCTTCATAGTTTTGACAAAAAACAAGATGCAGTTAAGCTTTGAACAGCAACAGTACATATTTAACACAGCTTTTTTTAGATWCAAGAAGAGGATGTTGGAGTACAAAATCTGTCATTTTCCACTGCGCTAAGTTAGACGGGTCTTTCATAAAAATTCAGACAGCCGATCCTTTCCAAAGTGCAGATCAAAGCGAGGAACTGACTGTCTCAGTGCAACCTCTAATATGAGCCTGAAGACACGTTCTCGCCTTGATCTTGTACCATACAGCTTAAACATTACAAAGTCAGTAGAGCAGCGCACTGCTGATAACACTGTCAAATGCGTTCATTGTGCTTAGTGAATTCACTCCACACTTAAAAATATATATATATTTCCAGTATTTGTGTGAGTGCTGGCTCATATTGTAAACACAAATGGCTTATTCAAATTTGGGTCYGCTCCTCAGAGTGGATTGAGGCAAAAATCACAGAGGTGTCAACAGCTTGTGACAGCTGTAACTAAACCATAAAAAGGACAAAAATCAGGCTAATGCAGTGTTTGAATATGATTTTTGATATGCATGATGCAGAATTTTTACGTCACTTTTTGAATTCACAACGCAGTCCTTAGAGCAGAAGGACACGTGCTGCTTAAAAAGTTGTCAATTAAGTTAAATTTAACGTTTGTACTGAGTCTGTTAAACTTTGCAATACACTCATTTATAGGTTTTATTTTATTTTTTTAATATCTACCACAACAGTTTCAAAGAAAATAATCAAATTTTCTCACATTGTACATTGATTTATTACCTCCTTCTCTTTTTCTGACGATACTCATTGCACAAAAGGCCTCAGCTAATTAAAAATTAGCACAAAACAGATTTTTTACTAAATGGAGTTTGTGTGTGAGGTTGAGCRCTACTAGCTCACTTCTACTCACAGCTTGGGCTCTGGAATCCAACTCTGAAGAGGGGCTGGACTTTCTCCTTTTCTCAGGAGTTGCCCAGGAAGAGAGGTGTAGGGCAGGTGTAGGGATACTCACAAGCCCCTGACTGGTGTTGGAGTTCTCCCCACTGAACGAGAGGCTTGGCTCTCTGCAGCTTCATACTGCAGAAGGGAAGGTTCTGACAATTGTTTGTGCTYATGCACCAAACATCAGTTCAGATGACTTAGCCTTTTTAGAGTCTTTTGATGGTGTCCTGGAAGTGGTGCCATCTGGGGATTCCCTTGTTCTACTGGGGGACTTCAMTGYCCATGTGGGCAACAACAGAGTTATCTGTAAGGGGTGGTTGGGAGGAAYARCCTCCCAGATCTAASCCCAAATGGTGTTCTGTTATTGGACTTCTATGCTAACCATGGSTTGTCCTTAACCAACACCAGGTTCAAGCATAGGGTGGTCCATATGCCTATTTGGTACCAGGCTAACTTAGGTCAAAGGTCAATGATCAGTTTTGTAATGGTGTCGTTGGACCTGCAGCCCTAATTCTTGGACACTCAGGTGAAGAGAGGGGCAAAGCTGTCAACTGATCACCACCTGGTGGTGTCTTGGATCTGGTGGCGGGGGAGGCTGCTGGACAGACCTGGTAAACCCAATTGTATAGTGAGGGTGAACTGGGAAGTTCTGATGGAACCCCTAGTCCATGTGATCTTCAACTCTCACCTCCGAGAGAGTTTTTCACATGTCCCAGGGAAGGTCGGGGACATGGAATCTGAATGTGAGGAGGCGTGCGCCATAAGTGACGCAATCGCCAGCCCTGCACCTGCACATTGGCCCTGTATGCTGTCCTGGCACGTGGTTGTGCACCTCCAAATTTCTGTAACTCTGCAAAGGCTGCGCATGCCATGCACCTTTTAATAGTCTGTTCATCACGCTTTTGCTCTCCTACTTACAGCATTTTCAGAACTTATAAAGTGTACTTCCCCATGTCATTTTGGAGAAATCTATGACAATGTAAATGTCAAGTGTATAAACACCCCCACCGCTGGTGAGGGTGCCTGTGCACTTGCTCCAAAGCACGACTATACCTCAGCCTTAGGGTATTTTGTTCTCAAGTGATGGTAGGATGAAGCAGGAGATGGCTCGACTGGGGCTTGGGGCCTCATCCTCAGAGGACATTGTTTCACTTGGTGGTGAAAGGCAAAGCTCTCAAGTTAAGATAAGATAAAAATAGTTACTGGTCTGTCTACATTCTAACCCTCATCTATGGTCATGAGGAGTGGATCATTGCCGAAAAAGCAAGATCCCGAATATAAGCGGCTGAAATGTTTCATTCATTGACCAGGCTCAGCCTTTTAGAGATAGGGTGAAATGCTATGTCACCTTGGAGGGAGCTCAGAGTAGAGCTGCTGCTCCTCCACATCAAAAGAAGTCAGCTGTGGTGGTTCAGGCGTCTGATTAGGATGCCCCCTGGACGCCTCCCTTTAGAGGTGTTTCGGGCATGTCCCACTAGTAGGAGGCTACGCGCAAGACCCAGAAATTGTTGGAGGGATTATGTATCATCTCTGGCCTGGGAACACCTCGAGGTACCCCAGGATGAGCTGGAACTTGTCATTGGGGAGAGAGTTATATGAGTTGCTCTCCTGGACCTGTTGCCTCTATGGCCTGACTATGGATAAGTGGCAGAAGATGGAGATGGAGATTTTTTTTTCAATTAAAAAGCTGTTTGCGTCAGAAAAGATCAACATCAGTGGTCTAATATGTATTATGGTGCCACAAAGAGACATGACTCATGAAATTACTCTTGAGCTCATTAATTAAAAATTAGAAATTTAATGCAATCTAAATATTTCACCTTTTAACTCAAACGATTGTGGCCAATTAGGCTTCATCCACATGAGGATTCACTCTATCATGTCATCAGAAGAGGGGAAGACTCCCCGAAAAAATGAAAAAAATCTCAAAGATGTTTTTGTTTAAGCTACRCAGAACTGCAGCTTCTTTCTGTTTTTAAAAAATGAAACTGTTGCGTTCATAAGAACTTGTACGCAAAATGAAGACTTACTCAACAAATGGACCTCAAACTTTAAATTTCAGCTCATCCATCACTGTAGGCCACGGCGCCAGCACCTCCTTGAGAAATACATGCATGAACAACTGAGTACTGCTCCAGCATTTATCATGTTATGGGCAGGAACGTCRCCTGGGCAGCCGTCCAGAACACCTCAGGGAGCTGAGGAAGGAGAACTGCATCAAAGGTGAAGATATTAAAGGGCCTTACTCATGTTTAGATGGTCACTCAACCATCCAAGTCAGTGATCTCCTGTCAGTGGATGGACATCTTTCACCTATACTCCAAAAAAAGTAATTATTTTTTTAAAGAAGTATTTTTCTTTTACAGAAAATATGACTCCATCCAAATAGTGATTTAAATTTTTATTTATTTATTTATTTTGGAGGATAAGGGACTCTTCAGCCAGATGCATGGATTTAAGGGAGAGCAGTCTCATAAATATTTAAGAACAATCGTATAACTTGTCGTGACATTTAGTACAGATATTCACTGCTTAGATGGTGTCATCTACCAAGAGCTGCAATCTCCTGATTTTTTTTTACCATGGTTGTTATGAAGATGGTATTTGACTAACCCTGACATTTTAGCAGAAACCTTTTTTTCTGTTTTGACCACTCTGGTTAGTCTTAAGCCTAACCATTCACACCACTGTCTTTCTTCTTTGTTCTGGTATATGCACAGGCAGCATTTATTACGTGTGCAAAGATCTGAATGAACAACCCCAACCTTGGCTGTCAGTGTCAGCGGTCTTCAACATTTAGAAAGCATTTTACACACACTTTGGTTTGACTTTACCTGGATGCTGCAAGACTTTATGCAATAGAGAACACTAACTTGCTCAAATAACCTTTCTGCACTTTAAATATCAGAGAACATCTTTGTCTAGAATGTCAGTAATTAATTTTGCAGTCTGTGGTTTTACGTCATCGGACATGCTCCTTCACCTTCACTCATCTGGGAACATCACATGTACAGTATGTCATGAACACCAATACCGTTAATTACACAAAAGATTCGGTGACATTATTTTTTTAACAGACTGACCTTAAAAGTTAAAAATATTAGTGATCCGTCAGAGTATTCAACACATGCACRAACCTCATCGAGCAGATATTTCTGAACCACAAACAGCCGAAGCACCAAAGTGACCCTAATTTATCGAGCTCATCTGCATCGTCTCCGACAGGTCGGAGCTTTTCGTTTATCATCTGCCGGGGAGAGAGTCATCCTCATCTGTGCAGAGCTCCCTCCACACAACTAAAAGTGTCATAATGATCACCGTAGATGAATGGCTGCTGTTTATTTTACCTTTTCTAAAAGACTAAATTAATCCTTATTTTGAGAAAAGGAAATACACAAAAGCACAATTAAGAAAGAGTCCGCTACTTTTTTACCATCTTCAGGTGTTTCAGAGTTAAAGCCAGAAAAGAGATTAACTTCGGAGCAGTGAAAGCATGGAAACACATTACTGTTTGCTAAAGTGAATTATYGCAATGATAAAAATGCTTATTGCGTGTTTTAGTACAAATACGGGATTCATAAAACATGCACAGCCCAAGGACAAAACCACAGACATAACATATTAACATGAAAATGATAAATAAATCTGAAACCCAGCAATCATGAAAAGCTATGAGGATGAATCCCTCAGACTTCCCCATGAATCACTCGCACCGCCACCAAAGACCCAAAGGTGACGCACATTTTCTTATTTAGAAAGTCATTCATTCAGGAGTCGTGCAAGCATTTCCTCCTGAATTCATCTGCTGAAGAATGGGTGTGGGGGAGGGCATTTGAGATAAATGTCATGGTAAAAGAATCGTTTCATGGCTTTACACACTCACTGTGATTTATTTAACGACCACCGAACCTTTGAGGTCACAATTCAAAGCAAAAGGCCAAAATTTATATTGGGTTTGAAGAGAGAAGGGAGGAGGTTTAGTTAAAGAAATACATCAAATTTTTCCTCTGTTTTTAACTGAATGACTGAATTAGTATTTGGTGCTATGACTATTCCCCAAAAACATAAAAGCAAAAGCAAAATCTACTTTTAAAAGAACTGTTTTACTGTGAATACCTGATTCATTTGATCAATATGTCCCAGCATCAGTCAGCCCTTTTCTTGTAATCACTCTACATCCTGGTGATGAAATGCTGCACAAGGCTTCTTCTGTCTTGGCACGGAGGAGACAATATTGTGACGGGCTGGGGGGGTGGGGGGGGGGCAGCCTCATCTCAATGTGAATGGAGCTAATCACTAATGCAAATTGCAATCAGAGGGGCATATCTCCAACTAACTTGGAGATAATTGCACGATTGTGCAGATAACAGAAGGTCAAACGCGCGCAGCCGCTAAAGCTCTCCAAGTGATCATCAGATGCACGCATGGGAATATAATTTTATTTATTTATTTTAACAGACTGAACCTCTGCATTGACTCTAAGGCCAAACATTTCCACATTTTTATTGATGGAGATCATAACATTACTCAGCAGATGGGCCCTTTCAGGACAGAAAAGGTGAAAATGCAACGGCAGCGCTGTTAACCGACACGTGAGTTTCTTTATGCAGTAAAAATAAAGCCAGCTGTCAGGGGAGCTATTACCATTTCTCCTTTTATCACCTCTTATTGTTAGGATGGCGGGGGAGGCTGATATTTGAGTCTTTTGTGTGAAGCCTTGAGTTGTGGGGCAGGAGCGCCCTCTACTGGACTCACCGTGGGATCTTGAAGAGGGCTTTAATAGGATGCATCTCAGCCAGAGGGGGGTCTCCGTCCGCCAGCTCGATGGCTGTGATGCCAAGAGACCACACATCACAGCGGGCGTCGTACGAGGAGTCGTACTGCTGCTCACAGGCTATGACCTGGCAACAAAAACACCATTTAAACAACTCACTGGGATCGTCGTGAACTATTTTACATCCAAAGGGAAATATAAGAGCGAAGTGAGATTACTGACTTTACCCATATGGTCAGTTCTTGAAGTTAAACACTTGAATTGAAGCTGACTCATAAAGTAAAATCAGAGTTTATTTAAAGCCCATTTAGGCACTAAAAAGGTCATTTCCATAGCTGCTAGAGTGAGCTCCTCTTTTCCACAGTCAATAATTATAAGTGGCATTACATTTTACAGCTGAGTTTATTCTAATTGCCCCTGAGGTCCCTCCCGACCAGTCCAATCACCGCACCTCATTTCTGCCAAAGAGTGAGCCGAGGGGCCTCACTCCCAGCTATTAACCTTGAAGCAACCTCAAGAGCTGCACCCGTGGAGGAGAATAGGAGCAGAATACACAATGACACAGAGAGACACATGCTAGAATAAGCGAGGAGTTATTTTCCTTTCCCTCAGTGATTTAAGTGAATCCTTTAAGCACTGAAATATATTGTTAGAGATGAATGCATGTGTGTGTGAGTGTAAAACTCTGACCTCTGGAGCCATCCAAAACGGCGTCCCAACTGATGTGTTCCTCCGCAGTCGTGCACTGGTTAGTTGAGCCGAAACACCTTGGGAAAATGTAAAAGGAATTTAAGTTGCATTGATTTTTTTTAGCTCCTACTGCTGCAGGCTTCCAAATTAGACCCTAAATGTTTGTATTAATCAATAAATCTTGGTATAAAATTCAGTGTGGCAACCTGCCAAGCTGTAATAATAATGGGCTATAATCATTTCAAATTATGTAGGACAGATTTTTATCAGCAGGAGTCCACTTCATCTCCRTGAAACAGAGGACATAAACATGCCTGGGGCGGGGGACTCAAAGTCATTTGCTATAACAGCTTTCTTTTAATATGCTAAGCATCAAATAATGCATTTTAAATGAGCAATAACAGCCCTGGGTTACGGCTACAGTCCATGAAATAAAAAAAAAACGTTATGGTGAAATGGGGACTAAAGAAAACTAAGCACATCAAATCATTTATTTTGCAGTTGTGTTTGCTGTTGAAATCAATGTTAGAGGGATGCTAAAACTTTCGAAAAATCCCTTTTTTATTTAACAAAATCTAAATTTACTCTCTGAAAGGTCATTACCAAAGTCAACTAGTTTGACTCCCCCGTCTGTCGTCAGGAGGATGTTGTTGCCTTTGACGTCACGATGGATAATCCGATTGTTGTGTAAATGTTGGAGACCCTTWAGAGGAGAAAAAACGATGCTCAGTCAAATAAATTATAACAGGAGCCATTAAAAAGCACAAACTGATCATGACGTTCTGCATCCCACTTCCTGTTTAACACAAGCTGCTTACCAAGAGGGCGCTGTATAAGATGTATGAGATGACGGGCTCCTGCAGACGCTGGCCRCGCATGATCAGGCTTTTGATGAGTTCTGTGACAGAGCCACCATTGCACAGCTAGGAGGGAGACAGAAACACAGACGACTCCTCCATCACTCACCGGTCTAAATTATGATTCATGGGGAGGGCTCGCTCACCCACGCAAGTCAGAGAAATAAGGCAGCCTCATAAGTCAGTGCGATAAAAATCAACGTTATTCAAGAAAGGTTGCTGTGGAAAGTGCATTTCTACACTGACTGGTAATATATTATTGAACTTTTTTGTTATAGAAACAAGAAAAAATCCAGTATTTGGTAGAAAATGGGAGTACTAAGGAGAAAATATAAATTGTTTTGTATGTAAACAACATTGTGTGACTCTCAGGCCTTCTAAACTTTTATTAGAAGCTAATTTCTAATGTAGTCCAGTGGGTTTATATTTATAATGTTGCTACACAAAAGAGAAAACTAATTTTTTGCATATATAATTAAAAACAAAGATGCTCCATGAAGTCTGTGCAGATTTCCAGCCCTTCTAGTTGTGATTGTCCTCCATGTTTAAAAAGAAGACTGCGTTATTTTTTTCACTTCAACCTCACTAACGGCTTGTGTCCTGCTTTAAGCCTTTGTTGACGTTCACAGCTTGAGAGCTGCTGACCTCGCACAATCATCTTAGGTTGTTTGGATCTTGTTTAAATCTTGTCACATCCAGTGTTGTATAAATTACCTCGAAGTGATACTTGAGTAAAAGTACAAGTATCTTATCATATAAATACTTTGGTAAAAGTTAGTCTTCTCTAAAAATATTACTTGAGTAAAAGTCTTAAAGTATCTGATATTTTTTGTACTTAAATATCAAAAGTAAATTTCTGACACAAAATCTACTTAAGTCTTAAAAGTAAAAGTACTGAGTAAAAGTGAGCGGTTCGATTTGCCAAAATGACATTTATTGGGAGGTGACTTCTCCAAAAAATATTTTTTTCTAACGGCGTGCAGCTGTGATGGGTTGTGTACAAGCTAAAAGGGTGTCAGAATGGTATATACTGTATTTATACTTCTCATCCAACTACAGTTAAATTCACTCTATCCAGGAAACACAATTTATCAGGATAATAACAACTTGGAATAAAATAGGAATAACAACTTTCTACTTCTTACCTTTTTAAGAAATTTAGTGAGTAGAAAGTACAGATAATTGTGTAAAAATGTAATGAGTAAAAGTAAAAAGTACGCTGACAAATAATTACTCAAGTAAAGTACAGATAATCAATTTTTCTACTTAAGTACAGCAACAAAGTATTTGTACTTAGTTATTTCACAACTCTGGTCACATTATACATGAAGACCAAGTAGATAAACGCTGTACACATAAAAACAACCAGATCTAAAAGATGCTGAATTTGTCAGTCAACCAATAAACAGGAACATAAATGAACAAAGAGACCAACAGTGAAATAAAGCAAATACAAAACATTACAAAGAACTAACCTCGAGAACCAGCCAGAGCTGCCCTCCAGATGAGTTGTCTGATTTGTAAAACATGCCATAAAACTTCACTACATTGGGGTGGTTGGACAGGGATCTCAAAATATTGTATTCGGCCTCGATCTCCTCATCCACATCCTTTAAAATACAAATGTGTAAAGTTTAAACAGAGGTTTAGCAATGTTTTATGCATAAGGACAGTGTAATGTTGGCATTATAACTAGAAACCTGAGGATAGGGTTATAAAGTAACACAAGAACATGAATGGCCTGAAGTATTTTTCTGGAGGCACTTTTCTATCAAAGTAAATCTCAGAGGGAGGGAAGATCCACAGCCAAAGAAGCAGAATTTCTCTTCCTGGATGTCTGACTGATTGTGTCAGCAGTCTAATCAGGCAGAGGGATGGGAGAAGAGGCAGCTTCATCTTCTTGGCCATCAGGGGGAACATMATTCTGCCAGGATGAGGGTTCTTCTGCTGACACAATCACAGGCATGTCTCAGACCAGGTCTCACTGCTACAGTCTGCTGCCAATGCAGAGTCTACAGCGCCCTTATCACCCAGACAAATGAGCAGACACACAGAGAGGAAACAGCAAAGTCAGGATCTTCACTTCCTGGTAAGAGTGCGCTAGACTTAACGTGACAGGAAATAAAGGGTAAAAAAAAGGCGGGAGCGCACTGACATAAATCACGGAGGCAGGTACAGGAACAACTGCGTCAAGATGGAGAGAAGAAATAAAAAGAACTGGCAACCTACTCTGTTTGAATGGCTCGAATGCTGAAACAAGTCAGAGAGTTACAAAGAAAAACAACCGCTTTAGTCTTGTTTTTCCCCTCTGTTACATTATTAAGGACTTTAACTGTCACAGCAAAACTGTCAAATATGAATGATTGCAATAGGAATCCCAAAAAGATGAGAACAGACTGTTATAAACAAATATGGCGATAGTTTTAGTTAAAATTTATTGTGAATAGTTTTCAAGTTACACCAAAACTGTGAGATTAATATTGCCAGGGGTAATTATACTGAATATATTATAATTATAGATTTTAGTTCAAAATGTAGGAGTGGCAGCTGGAAACAGCTCATAGAGCTAAATGATGGAGCATTATAATGAGAATTAATATACCACTTGTTCACAATTTGTGATTCAGGATCCTATAATCTGTTACAAGAAATCAAATAAATCCTTTAATAAACTAGATTTAAAGGTTAAAGTAGCAAAAATAAAACCAAGACTCTTCAGCCAAGCACAGCAATTCTGCAGAACCTGTTTAGTATATATTTGTTATTTATCTATTAATATACAGTATTTATTTTGTTCATATGACCATATTTAAATTATTGATTTGTTGAGGTGTCCATCTTGGCCAGAGAGTTCTTATAAAGAATACTTTAATTTATATGAGTTTTGTCTCCTGGTAAAAATAAAGTTTTTATGTTTCTATTAAGGCCATGATGATAAAGCTGGCCATTAAAACTACAGCACCATGAACTAGATATTATAGGAGCAAGGGAAGCAAGGGTAAAATAGCTAATGGAAATTTTTATTGTTTAAATTCAGATAATACTGTATTGTGTTTGCTATTCATTGCCATTTTCAAACAAACATAAAATTGATAGAAGGGTGTTAAAATGAGAAGTTATGATTGTAAACCAGGTTTCATGTGACTCACGTTGATCGGGTCCAGCTTTTTTACTGCTGCCTGGCTCCCATCCTTTTTGTTGGTCACCTTGTAGACTTTCCCATATGTCCCCTTGCCGATGGTTTCCACGATGTCCCAGCTATCTGAGGGATCACCAAGGTTCTCCAGGCCAATCATGCTGGACTTGTAGGGGTACAATCCATACAGTTGTCTCCTGAAGGATAAATCCAATCTTGGATCAGACATGCTCAAAACATTGTGACTGTATCGTTGGTGTAAACCAAAGGAAATGTTAATCCCTGTCCAATGCCTAAATGCAGGAAACATGGAGTTTGTTGGGAACAACTGAGCCACTTGACACAGGTCAAACTTCAGCACTATGTAATAAATAAAACACATAATACTGTGCTGGGATTAAAGAGTAAGCATATACATCATTAGAACCACGTTCCAAGTTTGAAACAGGAAAAACCAAAGCAAATGTACAGGGAAGTACTCACATGGCAAGTGTTATCTTCTTCTGACTCATCAGGACTGAGAAAAGTTACAACTAAAAAGTCTCTGGTGATCATAATAGAACAACACCAAGAGCAACAGCTTCCTCAGGAGGACGGGCAACAAGTGCTGTTTCATGCAGGCACCGAATTAGTCATCTCCACGGGGACTCTGTCGTGCACACTAAGAAGAGCAATCTCCTAAAGATCAATTGGATTGGTCAGATTATCTGTCTTAAAGCAGCAAACTAGAGCCTCACTTCCAATCAAGAAGCTTTATGAAATAATTATCAAGTCACAAATTAAGTGAAAAAAATCCCATAGCTGCTGATTATTATTATTATTAATTTAATCACATTTTTGACTAACAGTAAGTAACAAAGAGCTAAAAAATCCATTTCAACATGTTGGGACACGTGCATCCCTTTTCATTAAAATGCCACAAATTCCGTATCAACATGATGGAGAGCGATGTTTGTTTCCTCTCATCGTAATCGCGTCAATGCATCACAGAGACTGTGTGACCCTGAGGGAGCGAAGCAGCTTTTTATTTTTGGTGATCTGAAAACTGGCGTGAAAAATTAAGGTTTAACCCCGTCACATGGAGACAGGTTCATGAATCGCTTGTCGGTGGATATAAGATGGACTCAAACGCGCAGCGCAAAGATACAGCTGATATCCTACCGAGTGTCCTTCCAGGTGAGACAGAGTTGAGGCAGTGCATTTCAATAAACATGTACAAACATGTACCAAACAACTTGTATAATAACTATTAACTCACAATGTACTGTTTTAAGAGTTTAAATCAACCGTCTTGACTTAAACAAGGCCACACACACTTTTTTAGGATCAGAGCAGATCATTTAATGGTTACTACTGCTGTTGTAGTGTAACATACACCCTGTGTGACACATAACTTACTCCCAACACACCTTCACAAACTCATGAATCAGCAGAAACTGCAGCAGCAAATAACATCATTATCTTTGAACCTGTTTTCAAAGCCTTGTTTGTAATATTGTAATGTTTATTATTAAATCATCAATAAAAAACAACACAAATAAGTATTATCTTAAGTTTGCAGCCCACATTCTTCTACTTCCATCAGTCATACAATATTTACTTGCTAGTTATAATCTGCCGCCTACTTCAGTTTTTACACAAACATCTATAATATTTCCTTTATTTATTCAACATTCAAGATAAAACAAGGTTCAGAGAAAAAAAAAACAACACAAACAAAACATACCTGCTTCTGTGAAAGTGTCTGTTGCTGCTGAACGACAACTGCTCACGACTAAATTAGCCAATCTACGGGGATTAATAATTGAATGGTCATCTGCAGCCTGATCTGCAGCAGTGTTGAATTATTCAGGCAGCAGATGTAGTCATTCATAATGCTGGCAGATATGAAGCACCTCAGGTTGCAGGCAGGTAACCAGGAAGTTTGCGAGGTTACTAAGTCATGTGACCTCTGTCTGTCTGTCACACCTCAGCAGGTGGAGAGCTTTACAAACTCAACTCCTGCTTCACATGTCACTGCAACCAAACCTTAAACTCATTTTTCTGTAGTGATGAAGAAACAGGTGGAAATACTAGATTTTCTGATGTTTTATGTCTGCTTTGACATAGAAGTTGTAACTTCACAGACAATTAGGTAATTATCAATTTAATAACAGTTTTCAATGATCCTTCATCAATACATAATTCACAATTGAAATTCACACACACACACACACACACACACACACACACACACACACACACACACACAC